GGAGAGGAGAGGAGAGGAGAGGAGAGGAGAGATTGATTATAGGACTTCTGGTCTTGGGATGGACTGTAAAGGAATTTCAGGGGCCCACACAAACCTGGTGACCTGGGACTGTGGTGGTGCACATCTCTAACCCCAGGCACTCCCATAGGGAGATGCAAGGCAGAGACAGGAACCCAAAGGCTCATGGGCCAGCTAACCTATAGTGCACAGTACTGAAAATCAGAAGAGAGACCCTACATAAGTAAGTCAAAGGAGAGAACTGGCTCTGGAATATTGGCCTTTGACCTATGCCCAGTGCCCAAGTGCTTGCTCATGCACATGAAATAATAAATTAATTCATAAGTGAATTAATTAAAGTTAATTACAAAATAATTTCAGTATGTTTTGACTTTAAGCGTCCAGGGGGCCTTTAAACTGCTGTCTCTGGCTTTTGAGTGATAGCTAGGTCTTTTACCTGAGTAAGCTTATAAAGGTCACTCGGTGGCATGAAATTGCCTTATGGATGGGGGAGAGGGCTCTGGGAACCCAAGGCTCCAGTAGAGAGGGAGGTGCAGTGTATGCCCAAGTACTATTTATACTGATAAAATTTTAAGTGGGTTGCTTTTGAATTTGCTTCTCTGAAGCCTGTTTGAGATGGCGTATTCCTCCTTTTCTCTTTAGTTTTTGGTTATTCTCGGTTTTCCCATAACAACACCAACCATAACTCAGCCTTGCTGATTTCTAGTTGGTTGTGTATCAGGACATATTTCCAGTTACAGTGAGGAATCCTCTGAGAGTGGGGAGGTCTCATCATCATTTCTGGATCCCTCGAGCCTAGCAGGTAGTAGGCTCTCAAGGAATGTCTGTGCAGCTGCAATGAATGGATAGGCTGTTGGATTCATTCTTGCCTTAGTTTCCAAGCTATAATAAAGGTAAGTCTTGAAGAAGGTTGGGGTTTAGGTCAGGATAGCCATTACTTGAACAACAAGGAAATAACTAGAAAATGACAGTGTGTTGGACTGGATGCTGATGGTGTCTTCTAGGAGTCTTTAGAATGGAGACATCACTACAGGTTAGAGGTGAGAAGTAGACTGGGGTTGGGATTTGGAAGATGAGAGAATTCTGAGGAGGGGGCGTGCAGTAAGGGATGGGTTTCTTTAGAGACTGTCCATTGCTCTTGATGTTGGGTGTTCACCTTGTCTTTGAAAGCGAAAGAGGCCCCAAACCATGGCTCATTTGCTAGATAGAGAATGTGGTCTTGATGGGAAGCAAGCGGGCTGATGACTGTTGCTGACAAGAAAGTATAGGCGAGTATCTATATATTTCTACACTTATTAACTGTCTATATATTTATACACTTATAAACATATACCCTGGCCGAGTGCATCAACTTGTCAATACCCTTTATACACATCTGTTTGAGGGCAATTTGTCACATGCATGGCCATTGGCTTATCCTTGGTGGTCCATAAGGGGTACTAATGATTATTTCTAAGGGAACAGAAGCCACCCTGTGTTTGCTGGATATTGAGACCCTAGAAATATCCTCTGCTTCCTGTCTCTCCTCGACAGAGATCATCTCTGAACTACATTGTGGAAATCACACAGAAGTGATGATAGAAAGTACTTAAGACTGTCTTGAATCATTGGTGAAGGAAGCAGTTCTTAGCTACGTGCAAGCCCTGCTTCTACCCCAGAGCCATCCAGCTTAGTAGGTCTCATTTAAGGTCCTGTCTGGGAAATCCTGGTCTCCAGCCTCAGGTGCAGATCAATTGTATCAATAATGAGAGTGGTACACATGCCTCCTATTAGTGGCAGTCACATCTATGGTACAACCTGATCAAGATTTAAGTTAGTCTTGCTGAGAACTTTCCATGCTGAAGCAGGGCCCATTTCCCAGAATGGAAGAAAGGGACCCCTACTAGCTGCCTAGTTCTAATGAGCTGTGTATCCGCCCTTGAGTCACCCCTGATGTTTGGTTGTATGTCTGTATAAATTACAACCCTTCAAATTTCCCCTGAAGGGGAAAAAGCTGTTTTGGGGGAGAGGGAAAAAGGGAGTGGCTAAGTTCTAGATCCTTAGAGCCTTGTGATATGGACTCCCAAGGTTCAGACACATGACCCACATCCCTGAGGCTGTCATCACTCCAGCTTTCTTGAGTCATTTCTGCCTTTTTCTCCCAGGTGCTTTGTTCTGCACAAGTTGCCCAATTTGAAGTTTCTGGATGCCCAGAAAGTCACCAGACAAGAACGGGAGGAGGCATTGGTCAGAGGGGCCTTCATGAAGGTGGTGAAGCCCAAGGTGAGTTGCTACGTCCAGATTTCCTGTGGGGTTTATATCTTACTCTGTTGGTTGCTCCAAGAAGCATGGGTGATGCCTTCCTGTGCATTTAGAAAGCAGTTGTGATCTCACACCAGGCTTCATTCACAGATGCAGAGCTGGCCAGTCATGAAATTGACTGGATAGAATTTGAGTCTCCCCATCACTCAGTCTAAGGAGACCTTATATATAACACAATGTGGTGGTTTAAATGAAAATAGCTCCCAGACTCATGGTTTTGGATACTGGTCACCAAGTGATAGAACTGTTTGGGAAGGATTAGGAAGTGTTGTCTTATTGGAGGAATATGCCACTGGGAGTGGGTGGGTTTTGAAGTTTCAAAAGCCCTTGCCATTTCCAGTTACATGGATCAGGAAGTAAGCTCTCAGCTACTGCCCCAGGGCCATGCCATGCCTGATTCCTGCCATGCTCCCTGTCATGATGATCATGGGCTCACCCTCTGAAACTCTCAGCCTGCAATGAACGGTTTCTTCTATGAGTTGCCTTGGTTGTGGTATCTTAGCATAGCAATGGAAAAGTGAGTGAGAGGCGCAGAAACATGAAGGGAGCTCTGTGAAGTTCTACAGGTGTATTTTAGGCCTCCTCAATGCTTTCTTCTCAGCAGGTCTAGAGGTGAAAAAGAACACACTGGCAATTTTGTGTCTCTGGGGGTGGATGCAATCCTTCTTGTCCTTTGGAGGGGGGTATTGTTTCTTGGTACTAAAAGGGAGTAATTTTCTTCTATCAGAGATGAAGGTTCTTCAGTTCCATGAGGAGTCCTTAATGCAGTGGGCAGTGTTTTCTGGTGGTGTGTTGGGGCTGCCCTACATACAGTTGAGCAGGATTTATTGGGAGAGTTGGTTTGGAGTCCTAAATTCAGACACAAGGAAGTTTGAAGGATGTTCACAATAATCTCTCTGGGAGACATTTGGGCCCTTCTAAGAAGTCTGAGCATGGCGAGTGGATTCTCTGACCCTGATGGCGACCCCTTTCTAGAAACTTCACTACCCTGGAGCACTGTGGAGAGCCTTAGTTACTGCCCATGAAATTGCAGCTCTATGTTAAAAATGCTGGCATAGGAATCCTGAAGGTCTAGTTTGTCCTCACCCGGTGACTTATAGCCCTCTGTGCATGCATTGGAAGTGATTAAGCAGGGAAGCAAAGCCAAACAGCTCCAAAACAGAGCAGAACAATGAAACCTCTTCCATCAAGTTATGCTGTTGGCAGCAGACCTCAGGCCACTTCTTCCCCTGAATCCATGAGGTGCGACTGATTTCCTGTTATGCTGAATGAAATTGCTAACAGTTGTGGAAATATATGATACGGAGGGTATAATTCTGGCAGATAAATGTATTGTTACCTGTTTCAGCATGTGGAGAATTAATTGAGTGATTCATTTCATAGCTATTAAAGTGTTAACAGTTCTCCTGATTGGAGCATCGGCCTGACATAGTGCACATGACTGCCTTTAGTTATTCCAGCGTTTGCCATTTTGTCCAAATGAAAGAATTTATCTCCTGGCTTCTTTTCTTCCTCCCTTCTTTCCTTTCTCTCTTTTTCTCCTCTTTTCTTAGGATTTCAGAGCCAGCCAACATCACCAACCCCAGCCAAGTGCAGCAGATGAAGTCTATGTGCTCCCCTGGGGTCAGATCCTGGCCATCCTGCCCTCCCCACCTCCACTTCTACCCTGCACTGAGCAGATCTCTATTCATCTTTCCCTCCTTTGCTTTGGGACTGGAAGCTGGGACACCGCCAATGGAAAGCTGAAGAAGCTGGCCATGTACTGGGATGTTGTATTCTATGTGTGCCTGTCTCCCTTTTAAGGTTCTGTGTCTCAGAACCCTGTACACATAGAAGAAAGGACCACTGACTCAGAGCAGTTCATTGGGTTGCCCAAGGGCACTTGATCACGAATTCTTGAGCTGGAATTTTACCCTTATATCTGACATGGGGCCTGGCCTTTCTCACTTTGCTGTTTTATCCTTGGAGAGAGAGAGAGATCAATATTTTCCCTGGGGATGTCTTGGCAAACATGAAACTTCCCAGGAGAGCCTGAGAGAGGAAGACAGGTGGGGACGGACTGTTTTGTGGTATGGAGATGAGAGAGCTGGAATCCCCTCTTGCCTTTGAGCATGATGGGGGGTGGGAGAGTTCCTTAAAACCTGCCATCAGCTGTCTGAATCATTAGCGACATCAGCAACAGTGCTCTGCAGAGTTCCCAATTAGCTTCCAATCAATTATAGAATTAGCACATGTTTGTGTGATTGACTCAAATGCCCTTACTAACTGTATTACACTTAAAAATGCCCATTAATTATTTCAGGAGAGAGACAAAAATACCCTTGACAAAGCAGCATGGGGATCCTGGCTTTTCTTTCCCTAGAGTCACAGCATGTTCTACCTGGAATGGACCTCAGAGATCCCTTCTGTTGCTTTGTGGGTGAGGGATCTGGGAGAGAGGCAGAAGCCTGAGGTCCTGATGAGGCATAGCAGTCTTGGGGTTCTGGTTAAGTGTTCTATGTGATGATGATCCTTTAGTATTTCAAGAAGACTCTACGATATTACTGGTTTATCATACTGCACATGTCTGCTGAATGGCAGGCAATTCCCTTTTGTCTGCTATTTTCTAAGACACGCGGTAGTATTTTTCCTGTGGATAGAAAGAAGCCAAATGAGTTCTTTGTTGAATTAATAAACTGGGTGTTCAGAAGGCTGCTTCTTGCCTGTTTGCCATGTGTAAAGACACATGCTTGTTCCTATGCCGGTATATATATCCTATCTCTCTCTGTGTGTAAATATGCATATGTATGTTCTGGGAGGCATGTGTACACCTGGAGTCGGCTTCTAAGTAGAGAGCAATTTCCTTCCCTCAAATTGCTAGAGCTGCGCCATGCACTCTTGCTGAAGACCTATTTTTCATAACAGAATCAGAATCTCAAGTTGGCTTCTGTCCGTTCTGGGGCAGCAGGGGCCTGTTGTGCTTATTCAGCACAAAGTTCTGATGGATGATCAAGGAGGTTGTGATTTGGGGAGCTGTTTTCATTTTATTCCTGACATAAAGTATTTGGGAGGGCGGAAAAAGCCTCTCCAATCACAGCCCTTGCCTTCGAGGTAGGGAACGGGCGGTCTGGGTGTTCTCTGCTGACGCAAATGCAAAGCCAGCCAGGAACTAACCAACTTCCTGTATCACCGAGGTCCGACTTTGGTACCTGGCAGGCCTGAACACTTGAGGCCAAGTTCTCTCCAACTCTTGCTCCTGATGAAACATTTTGCCTCTGTGAGTGCGCTTTGCCTTTTGTTGACTCAAAGCTGTCTTTCTTCTGAGTTTGAATTGTTCTGTGGAAAGATGCTGTCATTTTTGACAAACTGATAGCTGATGTTACAGTGGGCTTTTTCAGACACACAGGCACAAACTCTTTCTCTGTATGACTCAGTCTCTTTCTCTCTCTCTCTCTCTCTCTCTCTCTCTCTCTCTCTCTCTCTCTCTCTCTCTCTCCCTGTATGTGAGAGAGAGGGCGGGTGTTTAATGGACCTGCAACAGTTAGGATTTACTCATTTCCCAGAATTTTAAAGAAAATATCCATCTTAGTCAAATATTGGCCACCGAATCATCATGCCATTGTCACTAGCGTGAGCATTGGAGTAGACACCGAGCAGCTCAGGGGCCCCAGGGAAGGCATCTGGAATGACCAGACCACGACCCCCATTGCTGCACTGGGTAATGAAGATCAAAGGGACACAGAAGCCTGTCCAGGAGGGCACGGATGGCGACACACCAGCCCTGCACATCAGAGAAGCAGCTCAACATCCCGACAGTCACAATTGCTTAATTATGTCCTGGCTTTGTAATTATTCATCCCTGTTCTGGCAAAGAGCACAGTTGTCATTTCTTTGACATAATTATTTAAAGCCGAGCCCTCTTGTTTACATGCACATACACAAAGTTGGCTGCCGACTGTTTCATCTTTAGAACTGTAGAGGAACCACGGGGGGCGTAGACACAGGGGGCACTGGGCCGAGCATCATGGCCTCTGTTGGAAAGCATTTAGGTACATGTGATTTTGCTTGTTTCTTTGGTCATTTCCATACAGTAAAAGTGAGGTGAGTGTCTATGTTTGAGTCTTAATGTGAACCGGTATTCTGCATTCCTTATGGAGCATGCCTGGGGTCCCAGAACGTGTGATGTGTGACTTGCATATGTGTAAAGCTTTGGCTACCTTGTGTTGTAGTGATTATTGTGTCTTCAGATATTGAGAAAGGTGAGGTGGGAAGAGAGGAGAGGAAAGAGGGAGGGGGGAAGAGAGGGAGAGACAAGTAAATTGGCAAAGGGATAAGCTTCAGTGCACCTGCCCTGGAAATACGTTCAGTTCTCATCCTAAACTACATATGGACTGTTCCTGTGTCCAAGAATCACCTGGTCCTATGACCGCTCCACGCAGTCCCAATCTTGACATTCGTGGTCAGGTACAAATTCTCCTATGTGAAGTCAGTTTTCCTCATCTGGCCTTTAGGAGTTTCTAAGGGGCAAGACAATGTGAGTTAATGACAGGAAGTGGAATTAAGGGAATCCAGTTCTTTGTTGGTGAGGAGGCCCCCCATTTCTGAGATACCAGCTCCCTGAAGCTGTGAACTGGGCCTGTTTTCTTCCATCCTGCAGCACACATGCTTGGCTTGTAGCAGAGGCTCAGTCAGTCCTCACTGAGGGCAGGAACCATGGACAGCAAAGCCCCTTGAGAGATTCATCCCGAAAGCCTTACCATCTCTAGATGGAGAGAAGATCATTGCCTTAGTTGGTGAATGGTCCTTACTTAGTTAGTAAGCCTGTGGACTAGTCCAAGAGACAGATTCTGGGTTGGCTGTTTACTTTGCCAGATCTACCTGGAGTTGATGAGAAGACCTGTGGCTGCCATACTCTCTGTCTCCCAGTTTTCCTCTTGCGCAGCAGTTCTGGGTGAGGCGAGGGTGTGGTCTGTAACTCCTGA